GGGATAGGGTGGGAGTTGAAATCTATCCTAGTATCCAAAGTTCAAGAATGTTCTCTCAGAGATTCAAACCAGGGTTGACCACACTGCTGCTGCTCTGAATGTTAATTGAGAAAATCGGGCAAACAAACAGACAGACAGATAAATAGACATGCTCCAAGTAGCAATTTTCTTCCTTAGATTTACAAAGTTTTATTTGACATTTTGGGCTGTTTTGACTTACCGAGACCACGAGGCCAGAAACCAAATGTTCTATCTGCTCTACCAAAACCGTAAGATTACTCGGAGTCGTTATCAATAATATTTAAAGAACTGCATTCGAAAAAGCGTGTCACGTTGTGACACTCAAACATTGTAAAGCCAAATTTCTCAAAACTAGGTAGGCCAACTATGCAAATAAAACTTTACAATTCTAAGGTAGCGAAATGTAGAACGCCAAGGAAATCTACATAATATGGAGAAAAATGAAGTAAATCGCGTATTTCAGAACATTATACTTTTCGAGGTAATAGGGTTGCCGACCCTACAATGATATATAAGGCCCGATCAAGGCAACGAATTGGCTTCAGTATTTAAAAAAATACATGTAATTTTTTTAATGTATCGGGTGGATAACGCATACCTCTTACGCCCCCCCCCCCCACACCAGGGCAGTGCTACTGACTGAAGTGTCTTTAGTCCATTCACAAAGGGGGCATATTAACATGTTCTTATGCACAGTAGAATTGTAAATGCGCTGATTTTTCAATGTCATGCTCATACAGTGCCGAAACAACATAGGGGGAACTGCTGCTTTTTCTTTCCTCATCCTTACTATCGTCATTTTTCCTCTACTTCTTTTGTATGTTTGTCACACTCTTGTGAACTGCAGCTATTTCCGGGGCGCCTTGATGGTCGAAGCAGACCTTGTGCTGTTGAGGCTAGAGAGATGAGCAAAGTGAGCCTGATTCTCCATTGGACTTTTTTGTTGACATCCACCCCTTGGCGCTCATATGACCTTATGCAGGTGCGAGCGCGTAAAACCTTACTAGAACAACATACCTCTTACAACGGTTCAGATAGTCTGATGATCAAAGCGACAGGATTACAAGAATAACTAAGAATAAACTGGTGTAATTTTTCTTTTGCATTTACAGAATGGACAACACAGACCTCCTACATTGGTCTAGAACAGGGGTGAGCAAATGTTTTGGATACGGGATGGGGCTGGGCGTGGGGCTGGGCGTGGGGCAATTTTGTTTGGGCTATGAAATAGCAAAAGACCTCCTTCTTTACAATTACTTCTGGACGGGCGCGCTAAGCAGCTAAGAGAATACAAAATAAACTGTTTTGCTGAGATTAAACAATTTGAATATAAAACAATATATCAGCAAACAAATTATCCTACGAAATCTAGTCTTGACTGTAGTGTTTTGACAAATGTGATTACTTTGGCTAAATTAATTGAATTCTACTTTTTAAAATTCGCGGAATGTTTCCGCTGGCCAGCCATAAAAAAACCTCTCCATGGAGGTCCGGATTTGGTGCCCGGGTTGTAATTGGCCAACTTCTGATCTAGAGAGCCCCATCAAAGTCATTGATTAATTTTAGTGTAAAATAGACAACTATTTTTTTAATTTTACAAATGTCAACGCAGACGTCCATCTAAAGGTTTAAAATTAATGCAGATTAAGAACTTTGTTGCACCATGCTAGCGTAAACTAGACTTTGACCTGTGGACTACAGCTATTGTCACTCCTTGATTTAGGAACAAGCGCAGAAGATATCGAGAACCTAAATAAATCTCGGATGCAAAAGTGCGACTCTGGGTTATAGAGGTCAAACCTAGATAATCCGATGACCGATGACTTTCACCTAATTAATCAAAGAGTCGTGTTGTTGATTGTGGAGTGCTCTACACTAATCAGGTCAACGATGTATGTCAGGAAGGGTAACTGCTCTGAGAGGCACGACGCAGAGCGAAGAAACAAAAATGTGTGGCAGCGTGGTGTAATCAGGAGCTCGTCAAAATAATGAAATTGACGAAAACGGATGATTTTCCATCAGTTTGGAAATTTTATCGAATTTTTGCTTTTTGGCTCTAAATCTCTTATGTCCATTTAAAAACACATTTCTAGGTGGATTTTAGTTGTTGTTGTTATCGATCACGGTAGATTTTAGTTCAAAACATTTATTTAAGGCACATAAATGTAAATTTTCAGTTTACAAGGACTCTCCAATTATGGAATTCATCAAACTGTATCAGTCATATTCTTGCTAATTTTACCTCTGACACCGGGCGATCCCCATGTCCTCCAATCCCAAATATCTGACTTCTATTCAAGAAAGATGGGTATTTGTTTCACCAAAAGCAAGAAAAATGAAATAGCTTTAAGAGGATAGATTTCTACCAATAGCTAAACATGCCCAAGAAACAAAACAAAAAAAGACGAGCACGTGATTCCGCTGTATTGTGACACAAATGTATCCTGTGATATCAATACCAGTTTTCGCCACATGCTGTAATCAGATAGATACGTCCACTTGAGATGCTTTCTGCCGTATCAGTTGCCCTTTCATACCTTGTTGGCCCTTGCCTAAACAGTTTTGTATAAAAGAGTCGGTTTGGCGCTATTAACTTCAGTTGCAAGTTATTGCAAGTTTCGAACCACGACACACGCACGACACACGAGTCACGACACACGAGACGCACGAGAAGCACGAGACACACGCGATGGACACCAAGTTTTTGGTGCTCCTGGCCCTGGTCGCCTCGGCCACTGCTGGTGAGTAGAGTTAACGAGAATATATGAAGCGTGCTGACAAAATTAGTTACTTCTCGGATTCAACACTTTTTGAAAAAGATATAGGCCTACCCCGCTTATAACGTATAGGTGAAGTATTTATAACTTATTAGTATGAAATAATAAAAAAGCACGTTATAGTTAAAGAATATGGCATTAATAAACATTCTACAAATTTGAACCTTGTGTCGATTTTTTGCCAATATCTCCATTTTGTTGATTACGAGAAGTAACTCATTGTGTTAGCAAGCCTCACTTACATCCGTGTGTGTTAAAGATATAACATTTTACAGACGTCAGTCTCTTTTCCCCCCTTTTTATTATTGTACACTTATTTTCTCATCCTTTTTCATGTTGTTTTTTTTAGCAACACTTACTTCCTCACCTTTTTTCTTTGTTTTTTTTTCAAAGAAGACTTCGGTCTTTTCTTCTTCCTTTTTGTTAAGAAGACATATTTTCTCTTTTTCTTTATTTTGTTTGTGCAAGACCTCGGTCTTTTCTGTCTCTTTTTTTCTTTTTAAACAAGATTTTGGTAGTTCTGTTTCCTGGGTTTTTTTTTGTAGACAAGACTTATTTTCTCTTCTTTTATAGCTCTTTTTCTTTTACCCGACCTCGGTCTTTTCCTTCTTGTTTTAAACTTTGGTCTCTGCTTTAAAAAAACAAATTTTTTTTAAACTTCGGTGTTTATTTTTACAAGAAATCGGCCTGTTCTTTTTCAACAAGACTTTGACCTTTATAAAACTTAGACTGTCTCTCTAGATTAAGGTTTCAGATGTAACTAGGTCGCTGTATTATAAATGCTGCTCTTGGTAGGTTGTTATCATAAAGTGCCAGATCTGGAACAGACATCTATGATCAAGGTTCGCCATTCTTTTCTTTGCTCAGATGCCCTGAACAAAACCGATATTTTTATCCTGTTTTTCCTCTGTTGCTCATTTAATCATGCTTTTCAAGTAAGTTAACAGATCTGGGGGGGGGG